AATTGAGTCAGATATTTCTTGGAGAATTTCTTCATTTCTTTTTAGTCTTAGTTCTCTCTCCTCCATCTGAAGCATTTCTATCTTTCTATCCTCTAAATTGCTAATTCTGTCCTGTATAATATCAGCTCTGTTGTTCAGGGAATCCAGATTTTTCTTTCTCTCATTCATCGTGTTTTTCATCTCCAAAATTTCTGATTGGTTTTTCTTTATAGTTTCAACTTCTTTTGAGAAGAATTCTCTATGTTCATTAATTTTATTCTTGATTTCATTGAACTATCTTTCTAAGTTCTCTTGTAACTTACTGGTTTTTTTTTTTTTTTAAGGAAGATTAGCCCTGAGCTAACTGCTACCAATCCTCCCCTTTTTGCTGAGGAAGACTGTCCCTGAGCTAACATCCATGCCCACCTTCCTCTACTTTATATGTGGGATGGCTACCACAGTATGGCTTGCCAAGCAGTGCCATGTCTGCACCTGGGATCTGAATTGGTGAACCACAGGCCACCACAAAGCAGAATGTGCGAACTTAACTACTGCGCCACCTGGCTGGCCCCTGTTGAGTTTTTTTTTATGGTAGCTATTTTGAATTCTCTGTCATTTAGATTGTAAAATTCTGTGCCTTCAGGATTGATTTCTGGGTGTTTCTCTTTTTCCTTCTGGTCTGGAGTATTAATATGCCACTTTATACTATTGGATGGGGTAGATTTGTGCTTTCGCATAGTGATAGTGTCTGTTCACAGATTCCACCTGCCAGCTCTGGGGCAGGTGCCACAGGAGCTGTGTATTCTGAGCCCACTGCAATCTCTGTCAACTGTGCCTGTCTGCGCCTGGGCTACACCTTGGTACTGCAGCGGCCCTGTGGGCTCTCCCACTGAAAGGGAAAGCAATCGTGCCAGGGTTCAGGGCTGCTGCTGCCTGCTCCCACAGTCCCACCAAGACACACTCCCTGCTTCAGGGTTGCAGCAGTACTATGGGAGTTCACAGCAGCCAGGAATTCACTTTCCCAGGTCTGCAGATCACCTCTGTCTCCTCCTAGGTTGTACCAGCCATTGTACATGGTGGCCAGGGCCTCCCTATTGAGTCTGAGCCTGGGCCACTCCCTGGGGCCCAGGAAGCGGCACTGTGGGCTCTCCCACCAAACAGGAAAGCAAAGATGCTAGGGCTCAGGGCTGCTGTCACCTGTTCCTGCAGTTGCACCAAGGCACTCTCCCACTCTCAGCCGCAGCAGTGCTATGGGTGCTCCAGCTGGGAGAACAGTCGCATGCGTGTACAGGGCTGCTGGTGGGCTGGGGAGTGGTCACGTATCTCCACCGCCTCCCTGGGGGTAGTCTATCCACCTTCAGATGGATAGCTGCATGGGTCTCTCAGGTGTCCTGATGTGCTGTGTGGGTATCCTCCACTGATCAATGAATATCCATTTAGTTGTAGTTAGAAAGGGGAGAGACAAAGGGTACAGCTCACTGCACCATGTTGCTGACTTCATTCTATTTTGTTTGTTAAAACTTTATGTTTCTTTGTACTAGATCTGGGTGAGTTTGTCAGTACTGTCTTCCAGGTCACTAGTGATTTCTTAAATTGTGCCCAGTCAAGAGTTTATCCTACCCATTGAGTTTCTTATTTCAATAATATATTTTTCAGTTCCAAGATATTCAATAGATCCTTTTCCATATCTGCAGGTGGTAGTTTGAAAAATGGCCACAAATTTGTCCCATTCTTGCATGCATGCCTCCTTGCAACGTGACTTTGATGCTCTCACTGTCAAGAGAAGAGAAGAGTTTGAGAAGAGCTTCTGCATTGAGGCTTGCCCTTTTTTGGCTGCAGGAAACCTTCTACCACCATGTGAACAGCACGCACTGGCCTCCTGGAGGATGAGAGACCACAAAAAAGAGCAACCATAGCTGTCCCAATGATCCCAGCTGAGGTCCCAGATGTGCGAGTGAGGTCATGCTGGACCACCCACCTCCAGCCAAGCCAGCACAGACCAGAAAAACTGTCCAGTCAACACAGAATCATAAGAAGTAATACAGGGTTATTTTTTAAGCCATTAAGTTTTGGATGGTTTGTGATGCAGCCAAAGGTAATTGATGCACTACCTCTCTGGTTCAATTTCTCCCTGTTTTGTTTCATAACTTTTGTTCATTTTTACTGGATCTAATTCTTTTTTCATCCCTTTTGTCATCTTAAACTTACTGTTTAAGTTTTTGTCAGACTACTTCATGAAATTATTTTCAGCTGGAGCGAATGACTGATTTTTGTTGACTTTCTCAGCATTCATTCTCTACATATATTCTGGAATGATTGCAGGCTTATTTGGGATGGGAGGGGTTTTTTTTTTGTTATTTTGCTCTCTCTTGCACCCACTTGAGAAGTTTTGTGGATGCTTCCCCCCAGCACCTTGCACCCTCAGTCCACAGCCAGATTTATGATGGTTTTCTGGGCTCCAGCCCCACAGTGATGAGAATATTACAGAGTCAGTCACAGAACCTGAATTGGTACCTGGTTAGGAGACTGAGTCTTCGGTCTCCCACCTTCTTAGTCCCACAGCTTCTGAGAGAGTCAGACTCTGTCTTCACACAGTTCACCTGCTTCTATCATCTTTTGCACAGACACTTACACTCTGTTACCCCAGAGGAGCCAGGCTCCTTTCCACTACTGCTTGATTTGGGTCCAGAGCCCTGTAAACCCATAGCTTCATCCCCCCTCACTTTTATTTTTTTCTCATTTTTGAGTTTGGCTAGATCTTATAAGGTTTATTTTTTCTTTTTATACTTTGTCTTTCATTGCTTTGCACTTAGAGCACAGGGAATATTTAGAAGCATAAGATTAAGTGGAGCCAACATAACTGGAGGTCCATTTCACATAATGTTTTCCCCCAAATTAAAATATAAACCCCTTAGGATGGCATTTCAGGTCTTTCACAATTCAGATCCGTTCCTGCTCCACTGCCAGTCACCCTGTACTGCACTCACATGAGCTTACCTGCTGCTTCTTGCACATGGAACGTGCTCTCATGGTCCTGTGCCTTCACATATGCTATTCCTTCTGTCAGGATGCCCTCCTGCCACACCTGTACTCTTCAAGACTTTGATAAAAAATGTTTTCAACTTGCAATGGAGAAAAGAGAGTCTCTTCAACAAATGGTGCTGGGAAAACTGGACAGCCACATGTAAAAGAATGGAAATTGACCATTCTTTTTCACCATTCACAAAAATAAACTCAAAATGGATCAAAGACCTAAAGATTAGCCCTGAAACAATAAGTCTTCTAGAAGAGAATATAGGCAGTATACTCTTTGACATCAGTATCGAAAGGATCTTTTCAGATGCCATAACTCTTCAGACGAGGGAAACAATAGAAAGAATAGACAAATGGGACTTCATCAGACTAAAGAGCTTCTTCAAGGCAAGGGAAAACAGGATTGAAACAAAAACATCACCCACTAGTTGGGAAAAAATAATTACAAGTTATATATCTGACAAAGGGTTAATCTCCATAATATATAAAGAACTCACACAGCTCAACAACAAAAAATCAAACGACCTGATCAAAAAATGGGCAGGGGACATGAACAGACATTTCTCCAAAGAAGATATACGGATGGCCAAGAGACACATGAAAAGATGCTCATTATCACTGATCATCAGGGAAATGCAAATCAAAACTACACTAAGATATCACCTTACACCTGTTAGAATGGCAAAAATGACCAAAACAAAAAGTGACAAATGTTGGAGAGGTTGTGGAGAAAAAGGAACCCTCGTACACTGTTGTTGGTGGGAATGCACTGGTGCAGCCACTATGGAAAACAGTATGGAGATTTCTCAAAAAATTAAAAATAGAAATCCCATATGACCCAGCCATCCCACTACTGGGTATCCATCCAAAGAACTTGAAACCAGCAATTCCAAAAGTCCCACGCACCCCTACGTTCATCGCAGCATTATTTACAATAGCCAAGACGTGGAAGCAACCTAAGTGCCCATCAGCTAATGAGTGGATAAAGAAGATACGGTATATATATATACAATGGAACACTACACAGCCATAAAAAGGGATAAAATCGTCCCATTCACAACAACATGGATGGACCTTGAGGGTATTATGTTAAGTAAAATAAGCCAGATAGAGAAAGACAAACTCTGTATGACTTCACTCATAGGTGGAAGTTAAACATAGACAAAGAAAACTGATCAGTGGCTACCAGGGGAAACGGGGGTGGGGGGTGGGCACAAAGGGTGAAGTGGTGCACCTACAACACGACTAACAATAATGTACAATTGAAATTTCACAAGGTTGTAAACTATCATAATCTTAATAAAAAGTTAAAAAAAAATGTTTTCAACTTGGAAGTTGGCCCCAGATCCCACAAGCTAAGTTATTTATTTCTTCTCTATGCAATGCACTCAATACATACAGACTGAGTGAATGAATGAAAGAATCATGGTGTGCAAGATTCAGTAAGCACACAATACATGTGGTTTACTGCCATATTGTTACCTACATGATCAATTATTGTTTATCTAAGTGTCTGCTCTGAGCAACTGTAATGTATTTTGTTTATCCCGTGTATTGAGAAATAAGGGTAGAGTGGTGGACACAGTTTTTCCATGCAATTTGTCTTATATCATGGCCATTAAACTTACTCTGCATGAAGCCCATTAAGAGAGGCCAATACGCCTTTTGTAAAAGTGTAGCTTTTACAACCATTAAGGAAGGTGATTAGGGACAAATGGTCTAATTTCCTTCCTCAATTTCACGGTACTCTTTTAAAAAGAGGAGAATAGATGTTAGCATGAGCTCTATTTTTTTCTTTTTTAGAAAAGTTTAAAATATGATGGAAAAAACTTAATTACTTCAAGCTCTAGTATATTTAAATGCTTTAACATCTAGAAAACCCAACTGTATCTTTCTATTCAGTATGATTCTATCTCAGGAGAAGGGTTACATTTTTTGGTGCCTTTTTGACAAGGAGAAGATAATTTATCAAGGAAAATAGTAACAAACGGCATGTTTTTTGCGTAAAATTATTTACTGAATTGTCCAACTTCTCTGGAATCCCTCAGGATACTGGTTCTTCCTCAGGAACGGAATGAAGGCTCCGTGACCTGGAAGAAGCAAAAAGGGTTTCAGCCTGGTGGGAGTACTTGTACTTTCTTTTCCTGCAGCCCCGTCACACAGCGATGGCAAAAACAGAAATCCAATGGAATGCTATTTTTGTTCTAAAAACATCTAGAGTTCATCTCAAATCTGAGACTTCTGGATGGAGAAACTAAATCCACCCTAACAAGTAATTAAACAAACAAACAAATAAATCGCCTAAAACCACAGCCTCCTCTGGCACCCGTCTACACTGCCTGCCTCCCTGTACCCCCCCCCCCAAACTCCCTGTCTGTGTGACCGCCTCCCCCACAAGCCCACTCTCACCTGGTCATCGCCACAGGAGACTCACGCTGTCCCACGCAGGGGTTTACTGGGCAAAAGCTACAAATGGAAAATGTGGATAAGAGAACAGAAAGTGAATATGAGGGTATCATCTCATTTAACTTCAGAACGTCGCTCCTTAATTCCAGGAGTCGTCACAGATTTCTGAAAACTTGAAATGTAACCTGTGAGATGTCTTTCTACTCCCAAGTGAGTCAGCAAAACAAACAAACAAACAAACAAAAGCCAAAAAAAAGGTCCTACCATTTTGTAACTCATGGGCCAGTGGGGGAGATGGAAGATATGTGCACCATTTCAGTTCAGGGTGGTAAGAGCTATGATAAATCTTACAGAAAGAAAATAACCACCAACTTCAGCTAATGAAACTGAGGACGTTTCATGGAGGAGGTGATTTTTTTTTCCTTTGTCTCCCAAAGCTCCCCAGTCCATAGTTGTGCATTTTAGTTGTGGATCCTTCCAGTTGTGGCATGTGGGATGTCGCCTCAGCATGGCCTGATGAGTGGTGCCATGTCCGCACCCAGGATTCGAACTGGTGAAACCCTGGGCCGCTGAAGTGGAGCGCGCGAACTTAACCACTCGGCCACAGGGCCAGCCCCTGGAGGTGATTTTTGAACTGAATCTTAGAGAATGAAGAGAAATCAACCAGGTAGGAAAGTGAGGGAAGACAATTCTAAGCAGAGGGAACAGCATGTGCAAGGTGTCAAGGAAAGTGTACTGGATATGCAATAGAGAGAGACGCCATTCCTCCAGGACGGTTACTCTCCATCTGAAAACCTGGGAATTAAAAAGACAAGTTGTCTGTTCCTCCTCCCCCGCACTCAACATGAGATGGTGGGACAGGCAGAGGATAACTGCTCTAGACACATCCATTCAGAAAGGGGAAAAGCAGGAGGAGTGCCCGATCTGAAGCACTGCTGAAATCTGCCAGGGCACACGGGGTCAGTTTCTTGATTAAAGATCCAGCCCTGGGAATTACTCACTGCGGCTCTTGGTTCTGCCCTCTGTGCCATTCTTCCTTTTTCATAACAGGTAGCCCATATAGGCAACTAAGTAATTTTCTTAGACTATCTTCAGCTTATGAAAGTTTGGGGATCCAAAGACCTTTTTTTTTTCCACTTTCTCTAGTGGTCCAAGCTGGATGTGTTTCTGCCTGTACAATTCTCCTAAAACCTTTGGGAGCCTCCTATCAATCTTATTGTGGTTCATGCTGCTAGAAAAAAAAGCCAGACCCACAAATCTCATCATGACAAACCATTCTTTATCTTGGGCTTCTGCTAAAGCTGCCAAGGATTCTTAAAAACCCTGTTTTTTCATTTGTTTTCATTTTTGACTGAACAGTTTTCTAAGACATTAAATCTTTCCAAGCTCTTAACAAAGGATACTATAATCAGACTCTCAGTTTCATCTTCACACCTTGTTTTCCTGACCGTTGCCTGAATCTTACTTTTGTCCAGAAGTCATTCTGGATTTAACATTACTTTTCATCTGGACAGACAGGAGATTTTCAAACTCTGCAGATTCTGCCTCCTTATATTTAACATTTTCTTTTCTTGAGCTCATCTTCTCCCCTCAAATTTTAATATGAGCAGCAAGCGGAAGCCAGAGTGACCTTCTACTCTGCTTGGAAATCTCCCTTGCTAGAGCACCCAATGCGTGAAGGACATTTTCTGTTTTCCATGTTATTGCAGGTAAGAATTTTGCTAAGCTTTTGGCCGCTGCATAATGGATCCTGTTCTCTCTAGTTTCCAGTCACATTTTCCTCGCTTTTCTTTAATCCGTGACAGACAGCCTTCTTGAGGAGCATCAGGCTTCTGCTAACAGCCTCTTTGAAACGCTTTAGATTTTTAGTAATACTTTCCTGAAAGTCCTTTCCGCTTCTGTCCTCTCCTGTCCCAAAGCCACTGCCACGCTTTCAGGGTTTTTGTTACAGCAGCGCCCTCCTTGTCTCTCATCTTCTGCACCCCGACTTTTGACTCCCCGCTTATTTGCATCTCCAGCTAACGCCCAGCAGCTTGCTTCTGATCCCCATCCATGCACTGGGTAGGCAATTTTCTTCCAGAACTTCTGCCCCTGGGAAATAATTTTAACATATGGCTCCAAAGATCAGTTCACCAGAGGAGCTCTCTTGGGAAAGGGCTGAGAGAGAGGGTTAGCGAAAGGTTTTATTTGATGCTGTCTCTGCAAACAAACAGACAAACACCTTTTCAGGATACCAAATATTTCATCTGGAGAAAAGTACCAAAATTCTGTGTGAACCATTTTAAATTCTCCGTTTGAGGGCAAAATGGAAAGAGTGAGATCCATTTCTAACATTTTAGGAGAATGAAACAAATGTGGGATTAAATGTATGTTCGGCTAACGTGGGCTATTCTTGTTTTACTTTTGTTTTAGTCAGCGTCAGCCTGACAGCGGAAGGGCTGCACGGCGGAGCGGGAAAGGCTGTCGGCTGAGGATTCGTGTGGACCTGGGCTTAATCCCCATAAGGCCCAGTTTCTTCATCTCTCAGTGGAATTATCATTATAATGACCGCATAAGGTTGCTGTAAGGATCAGAGGAGCTGGACTGTGCGTCAAGTCGCCAGGCAGAGCGTCCAGCAGATGATCAATAGCCTCCTCTGGGCTCGTTAATGTGCAGCCGGCTCCTCATCTCCCCTGCAGTCTGCATTTGTCCTTCTTGAAGTATCTGGAAGCAGGAATCTGTGCTCCCGCTCCCCGGGGAGGATGCAGTGGCCGGGAAGGAGTAGGGGGAATTCTCGAGTAGCTTTCCCTGCCCGCTTAGGATTAGGTTCTCAGAATTAGTTTCTCTACCATGCTAAAAAAAATCCCAAATTTAGGACTGTAGAATGTGGAAATCTCCAGGGACCACATTAAATCTATTCTCACTGGACTATTTCAGGGAAGAAATAAAACCAATTTGATTTTGTGTCTGCCTTAAATCTGCCGTTGATCTCGGCTCTCTGGGTTTCTCTGCTCCCCAGCCGAAGGTCCTGCATCCCAGAAGAATCCTTCACTTTCTCTCCCAAGCAGGCCTGAGGCAAGAGGCTGCAGGGCAGGTCATTCCTGCAACGGGAAAGAGGCCCCAGCCTCACGGTGGTGTCGGGCTGGGAAAGGCATGGAATTGGAAAAAGGAGAGAATCAGAGGGTGAAAATGAGATCTGGAGAAGGACTTTTAGGAGACTAGAGAGGAAACGTTGTTAGGAACCATGGTGATGCACGTATGTGAGAGGAAGATGTGAGGGGGAGACTGGTACTTGAACCAAGGCAGAGACGCAAGGAGAGGGAGCTTGAAGGAGAGGAGTATGAAGTACACTTCAAGGAAAAGAGCTGTGGAAGGGGTGCGTTAGACGGGGGAGTTCATTAGACTTGCTAAAATTCTGGGAGGCTCCCTCGCCTTGCTCTTCCCGTGCCTTCCTCTTCCGATGATTCCACCTCTTTAGACGGTTTGTCTTCTTTGCCACCTTCTAGCTTAGCTCAGGCCAGGTTGTCTCTCGCCCTGGAGACGACAACAGCCTCCTAACCAGCTGACCCCTCCACCCCACAGACCACACCCCAGCCCACCAATCATTCCTCTCACAACCTGAGTGACCTCTCTCTAGTCTGATCTAGTCCCCGACCCACCCTGCTCTTCGAGCTCTTTGGTGAATCTCTGTGCCTTCAGGAGCAAGTCTGAACTCCCCACGGTGCGTATCAAGTCTTCTGTGATCTGGCCCATCTGCCGCTCAGCCCCATCGCTCGCCTCCTCCTCTCCAGCCTCTTAGGCAGCGTGTCCTTCCCAGAGCTTGCCTGGCTTCCTCACCTGTCTGGCTTTTGCCCTGGCTCCCACTGTCCTTCCTCCTTCATCAGTCCAACTTATGCGCCTTTGAACATGGTATTTCCTCTTTCTGTCAGATCCTTTTCTTTTCCATCTGACTCCCATTTGGTTTTCATATTTCAGCTCAACCACTGTCTTCTCCTAGAATCCTTCCCTCTGTTACCACCTTCCGCCTACACGCATCACAGTCTCTTACCAGCCCCCTCCCCGCCCCCAGGCCCCGGGAAGCTGACCCACGCACACTGTGCTTACTTCCGTATCGGTACTTGTGTCAGCGCCAGTTGTCCCCGAAGGTAGGAGGAGAACTGCTTCAGGACAGAGACCACCCCACATTAGCATCCAGAGTGCCCTACAGGTTTTCTGGAAGGTAGACAGCAGGAGCTCCACCATGTCGACTGAGTGAATAAAGGGATGGATGAATGCTCAGGCGGTGGCAGAGAAGAGTCAGTGCGGAGTGATTCGGTGAAGGAAAGAGGTTTGGTGAGGAAGATGGGTGTGAGAAAAGACAGAGACGAAAACAAAGTGGGTAAAAGAAACATTTATTTATTTATTTTTTAAAGATTGGCACCTGGGCTAACAACTTTGCCAATCTTTTTTTTTTTTTTTCTGCTTTTGTCTCCCCAAAACCCCCCTGTACATAGTTGTATATCTTAGTTGCAGGTCCTTCTACTTGTGGGATGTGGGACGCCGCCTCAACGTGGCCTGACAAGCGGTGCCATGTCCCCGCCCAGGATCCGAACCCTGGGCAGCCGCGGCACGCGCGAACTTAACCACTCAGCCACGGAGCCGGCCCCAGAAACATTTATTTTTGCTGGGAGTGGTGACTCCTATTTCCAGGGAGAGAAGGTGCCACATCCCAGCAGCACACTGGGTTCTTTCTGCTGGTGTAAAGGGAGATTGGGGGGTGGTGGTTCCCAGATACTACACCCAGCGCCACTCGGGAATCCTTTGCCTCCCCCTGCAGGGCTTCCCCATGACCAACTCCGTTCCCTTGATCCTAACCCTGTCTCGGTCGTTCCCTTCACTGCACCCCCAGACTGTCACCCCACCACAGGGATGAGCTTCCCCAGGCTTCTCGCTTGTTCCAGCGTCCCCACTTTCTTCCTCCACGTCCACTCTGCTTTATTCCACATGCTCACCCCTCCTCACCCCAACGACCCCAATTCATCCTTTTTTCCGTGTCCTAGGAGCTCACGTTATTCATCCATTTGTCCAAATCCCCCAGCGTGGGCGTGCTGACTCCACTTGTCAGCGTCCTACCGCCACCAAAGGCTCCCAGGTTCTCTTAAGACAATCAGAATATTTATGGACAATTATTTTTTAAAACCTCCAAGGCACTAAATTGTATCTGCCCAAGATACCACTTTAACTGGCCTTCTCTGATGTTTCAAGGCTGCCCTGCAGCCGAAGATTAATGCGCCTGCTTGTGGAGGGTCAATTACTCACGGAGTTTTATCAGCCTGGGCAGAGTGGAAGAGGTAATAGAGACCCAGATCAAGGGCCTCCATTCTCCTCCCCAGCTGCCTCTCATCCTCTCTCGTTTGCTGCAAACACTGTCCACAGAGCCGGAACACCACGGCTTATTTTTATCTGTTTATTTTGCGATTAACGAAGAGAAGGCACCTCTTTCTCTGCCTGCTGGTTCAGGGGGTCAAAGCGTCTAGCTACCTTGACCCCTTTGCCAGCCTCCGACGTCGCAGTATGGCTGCCCAACTGGGAAAGATTTATACTTATTTTTCTATAATGGAAAACTCATTGCTGGACATTGAGTGACTCACTCGGATCTGTTTTCTTTGGAAGGAGCGGCCGGCGGCGCCCCAAGCTGGGTCATTAACATGGCAGCAACAGCAACAAAGACCTTTACAGCCGCTGCCTGTAAACCGTGGATCAAGTTCAAGCAGTTATTCTGTTTGAGGCCTCCCAGTGTCTATAAAAGCCCAGCACGATTATATGATCAGTGTCAAGACCCGCTCTCCCCTCTTTGTGCTCCGGGCGTTGCCTTGCCCTGTCCCTCCGTGTTGCCACCGCAGCTGCCCCGGCTTTAATAGCAGCCCATGGCACACACTATTGGAGTGTTCCTTGGGCTTTGTTTGAAACATGGTTTTTGCTTGTGTTAACTGCCGCCTGGCTCTCTGACACCCGTGAATGGGGCTATGCGGGGCTGTCAATCAACAACAATAATAATGCCATCTGGGTTTGAATAATACTAATGAGAAGAAGAAGAAGAGCGATACTGTGTATTAACATAGCACCTTTGTCCCAGAAGCTCAGAGGGCGTCCAGGATAATAATTCATTCATGCTCCGAGCACTGCTTGGCGGTAGATATTATGATCCCACCGCGGGGGACTGAGACACAGAGAGGGCAAGTGGCTGGCCCCAAGGTCACACAGTAAGTCGGAGATGGCATAAAACTTAGTTACTGCGAGTCCCCAAAGCATGGGCCCCATGGGATCACACTGAACTGTAACTCTCTGTGCGTCTGTTTTTAAAATCTAGCTGGAAAAAGAGCTATAGGACTTAGCTGTTCCATAGCTTATGTGATGAAGAAAAGGAAGAAATGAAGAGAATGTTCTAGGGTCGAGGATATTGCTGGAGACACCAAGAGTTTCCCTGTTTGGTCTAAAATCCCATTCTGCACTCTCCCTTCTCAGCCCCCTTAGTGCACAGATGGGTTCAAACCTGGCGCTTCAAATCAGTAGAATCTTGCTTAACTTCTCCGTGCCTCAGTTTCCACCTCTGTAAAGTCGGTTAATAGCATCATCCATTGGGTTACCTGGCACATTGCAATGACTTCCAAATGCATTTCCCCAACTTCAACCTCTCCTTGATACCTATCTTTGGGTTGTTCTGAGGGCTCAATGAGTAAATATATAAAATGCTGAGAATAGCGCGTGACAACATAGTGGCAGCGCAGAAACGTCAGCTATTGTTACTATAAGTAGTGATGGGATTGTTCCCGCGGTCCTCCTCCTTTTCCCCCCGGTTCGCTGGCCGCTTACTCCTGGACGGATAGAGAATAAACAGGCACTGTGAGGGAACACTCCAGCCCGACAAGGACCTGCAATTAAACCACCAGGCCTCTGCCCCTTCGCTGTGCTCGTGTTGCTTTTAGGAGCTGTACCCTGCAGACTAGCACTTCGTTATTCTCACTCGCTGCATGTGTTAATTTTGTCTCCAATAGACTAAACAAATGCACGGCGACACATCTAATTCTGTTCCGTTCCCCACCGCACCCGGCACTCCTCTTGACAAGCAGCTTTTGCTCAGAAGATACATGTCACCTTTCCGCGAGTTTTGGAACACCTGCTGTGTGCTAGCCTCTGAGCTGAGGGGCTACGCGGGCGGGTTAGAGAAGGATGTGTCAGGGAGGGATCTCGGGGGAAGAGACAAGCCGTATGGGAATAATTCACAAAGCTTCGCTGGCCTCAGAATCCCTTGAAGGGCTTGTTGAAACCAATGCAACTGAAATGACTTAGGATGCCCATTGAACTTTGACTTTGTTTTCAATGGAACTATTGAAAGTCTGTAAGAAGAGGAGTAACGTGAGCTAAGCATTATCTGGGGAATTCAGCCTCCTGATGCTGCAGAGGATGGAAAAGGCCAGGGAGAGACAGCAGTTGGGGACATCAATTCAGGAGGAGTTGTAACACGCTAAGAAGAGAGAGAAGTGCTGACGAGATGCTGAACTGATTTCTTGGTTTTGCGGTCTCCCACACCCCACATTCCTGCTTCCCTGTCCCTTGCAGAGAACCCTTAAATACTTGAGCCAACACCTCCTGCCCTGTGAGCTCCTGATTGATGCTGTCGTCCGTCCTTTGTTTTTGTCCCTAAGCCAATTTACAGACACTATCGTGGGGACCGGGTCTGAGATGGCCCTCTCTAGTGTCCACGGCCAGCATTCTTGGGCAAGAAACAAACAGGTTTACCATCCCTCCCAGACCTCCGGCGGCTCCGCAAACGGGGGTGACTCCTCCTCTCCAGCTCTCCCCGCAGGCGAGGGTTTTGCCCTTGTATTTGATGATCTGGCTCATGTCTTCTCTTTTCCTGTAGATTCAGAGCTTCCTGAGGACAGAGCCCACATCTGCTGCCACGTCTGAGTCCCTTTTCGGTGTAGTGCCTGACACAGCATGGGTGCTTGAGAAATCTGTTGAAAAAAAATAAGGACACATTCGATTAAAAGTATCTAACATTCTTCATGGATTCAAATACGTAATGCCGCATCACACATGGATATCTTTGTGAAAGCATCTGGCTTATAGGGTTTCTCTTTCAGATAGAACTTATTATATCCACATAAGAGGGTAGCATTTGTAAGGTCTGCCTTCGAGAATAAGAAATCACCTCATTAAATAGAGTAGTCTTCAAAAAGTATATAGGAATTCCTCCTTCCTTCCTTCCTTCTGTCCAGCTCTCTTCCTTCCCTCCCTCCCTCCCTCTCTTCCTCCTTCCTTCCAACACTGGGACGCCCCCGTGGGAGGCACTCACACAAGACGCTGGGGGAGATTAGGTCCTGCCCTTGAGAAGTTTGAAATCCAATGAAAGATATACAACCATCCATAATTTTATTTCATAAATTAAATTTTATTTTAGACTGAAATAAGGCGCAAACAGCACAGCGCAGTCACGTGGAGAGGGGTCCCGGCTTAGCGGTGCTGGGCGGGCAGGTGGTGGGTGGGCTGGGGAGTGAGAACAGGCCAACAGTGCGGCAGACGAACTGCAGGAAGACGGGGAGAGGTGGCGATGGATCCAAATAAGCCACGTGAGGACTTGAGACCCTACTCCCAGGCAAGGACAGTGATTGAAACTTTTGGAACGGTGACATGTACCCCAATCTAGTTTTGGCGCCACTGTGCTGGCCTAGATGGTCAGCTGGCCACTACCCTGTGGCTTGAGGTTACTGGTACTTTCTGCACCTTTCCCCACGGCTGCAGGAGGAAGGAGCACTCTCGCCAGAGAAGCTGGATGCTTCCATCTGTGGCCCAGGCCCGGCGGAGACTGATTCGTTGTTGGAGCATTTTTCTTGAGGATGAGCTCGTCCCTGAAAACCCTCTCGCCTGGGGGCTGTCCCGACTGTCAGCCGAGACAGAGCTGGAAGGCATTTGAGCCTCTACAGTCTCGCGAGTGGATGGACCACCACGAGGGGCAGGGAGCTCCAGAATGCCTGCCCCCTTCTCTGGCAGAGCAAGCTGGCCGGTTCCTCACCGCACCATGAATTTTCCTGGAGGGAAAGAGCGGATGCCACATGGTCCTGGCTTGAAAAGATTCCATGGTGTCTGCACAAACAGAGACTGGAGCCTCTGGGAACAGCCTTGCTCTCACCTCACCCCCAGAAAGCCTCCCTCCCTGGCCCGTGCAAACAGGCTGGGAACTGTTGCCCTCGCTCCTACACACTGTTGTACTGTGGGACGGAGGCCTGGGGATCTCACCTTAAAACAGCAGGTCTCTCCA